TCTCTCTCTCTCTCTCTCTCTCTCTCTCTCTCTCCTTTTCAAACATAGAAGCGCATACAATGAGTCCAAGTGAATAGTCATTCTTCAAAAGCCTCCTGAAATCTCTCACAAAGCTAACGGATTCAGGCAAGCACACACCCACACAAAAAGAGAAAGAAATAGTATTAGTGCACTGCTCACCTTCTTCGCATTCCACTCCCTCCCTTCCTCCTCCGTCACGTAGAGACAGACCAAGTGGCAGGCAGGAAAAAAAACACTTTTGGTTGCCATTATCCTTTTCTCCGCTTCCTTTTCTGCTTCTAACCGCCTTTTAATTGCGTGCTAGAAAGGAAATCCAGGGCACCACAATTGTCTATCAACTCACGTACGGCAATTCGCGTAATGTGTCGCTCTGCAGGGACTTTCACGGGCCGTTTGGTTTCCCGCAGCAATCCATCAGTTGGAACCGCCTCCTTTTTAGAACCTGGGTCAGGTGCCGTAAGTGAGACTGACGCATTCGCCCATGAAGAGGCCACGTGTGTATTGGGATGGCCACCCCGCGGCCGTGGCTCCCGCTGCAGCGGCAAGGGCGGGGGAAGAATCCAATGCGGACTGCCCGTTGTGCTTAATCGCCACCGCCGTGACCCACGTAGAGCGTAAAATGGCGACGACGAAGAATCCATAAGATATTCCTCGCGGCGCAAAAGCTCCACAGTGGTCCGCACCAGCGGCGCGTTATACCTTGCCATGTAGCAATAAAAGATAATATCGACTAATTCGTTCAGACAACTTCTCACAAAAATGGCCAATGAGGGTGTGATTGGTACGCCGTGCAAAGAAAAGCGGGTGTTGATGCCATCCATATCGTACGGTTCCAGTGACCACAGTGACACATGCAACTCCCCTGCGATGGCTTCCACCACATCAGCCTTAAATTTGGTCGATTTCCTTTGCGACTCACAGGACCCCAGCATGTCATCCAGCTGGAGCGCTGTAAAGACATAATCCAAGTGTTGGTTGCTCTCCAGCACTGTGCGAAGGGCATCGACAACAAACACGTTCGACAGTGTCCGCCACTTAACCTCCGGATATAACACAATCAGCCGATGGCAAACGGAATGCCCCCAGTTATGGTCGCCAATGCACTCCATCCGTTGAAACCCGGCATCCCGCTGAAACGTGCCGGTGTCCGTTTTACCCCCACGCGGAGTCACGACGCTCAAAACGCCCAACTGCATCAAGACCTGAAGCTTATCACGTAACTGTGATGCTTTGCGTTCCACAACGTTACGCCACAGATTCTCCGGCGCAATTTCTGTTAAAAGTTTCGCCGCAAGAAACTCATTGTTTTCTTCCCACCCACAAACAGCAGCCTTGCGTCGCTTGAGAGGGAGGCAGCAGGAGTGACGCAGCACCTGTTCCCACCGCTGCGTTTCCTCAATAAAAAAAGCACGAGCCGCTTCTGGAGCTACCCCCACAGCACCGCTGGGGTGCCTTCTGGCTCTGGCAATCAACAGCCACATGATCGACTCTACTAATTGATGTGCTACTGACCCTCTATGCGACACTCCGCAAGACCGCACCTCGCCGCATAGCCGACAGTGGTTGAAGTTAGGGGAAAGAAAAAACTCCTCTGTTATGCGCATGGTGGGCTGAGGCGCAGAGACCGCATCGCAGCTCATGCCCTCATTAGTGGCTGTGAAGATGTTGTCCCGGATTCCTTTCCGCCGCGTGGGAACCGCCCGGAAAACAGACTGACGCGCTAGTCGTACGGGTCGCAGCATTTGCCCAAAAAAAACGTTTTGGCAAGAAAATGTGTACAGGGATGGAATGACATTTAGACAAATAATCTTCCTTGGACGCCTTTCACCGCGTGCCGCCCCTGCAATCACCTTGCACAGCTACGCAAACGGAGGACAAAGAAAAAGCGAACCCACCACGCCTACACATACACGCGTTGAAGAGCAGTGCTGGGATCCAAAACGGGGAACAGCAGCTGCAGAAAGAGAATTGAAACAGACAAGTATTTTACTTACCACGAAATTGGCATGTCGATAGTTCAACCCCCAAGAGAAGGAAAAAAAAGGTGGGAACGCCTCTCTGTGGGCGTGCGGGTGTGTGTACGTGGAGAAAAGAAACTTTGAAGGAAGCCAAACCAACACAAATACGATAAGAGAGAAAAAAAAAAAAAAAAACTAGGGGACAACACAACTCCAACAACAACCCACCACCTCAACAATACGTCTACAGTTTTTTTTTCCTTTTTTTTTCTTTTCTTTTCCTTTTGTTCAATTGACCAACAGTTCTTTTCATTCTCGTTTTGGGATCCCACTCCTCGGCATACCTCCTGTTTCCCTGCCATTCCCCTCATCAGATGCTCAGGTCGACACTTCATTGCCCCTGAAAGTGTTACCACTTCCTTTTTGTATCGTACTTTCCTGCTGCCGCGGCAACGGCGTATTGGCGCGGCTTGTACGAACAACCGCCAATCTGCACGGGCAATTTCCCCAATGACATATTAGGTTTTCTCCGCCGTCGCTCAGCCACCAGGCGCTCATAGTCGTTCTCCTCCTGATGCAATTTTTGCCGATACTGGAATACAACAACTTCCTTGTCAAGGAGCCTCTGCTCCTGCTCGCGGTAGTCGGCTTCGTCTAGCCCCCGCAAGTCATCCAACTCATTTCGCAGACGCGCCTCCTTCTCGTTTTCCCTGGTAAGTTGTCTCCGCACAACCTCCAGGCGTCCCTCCAGTGCCTTCTTCTCTGCCTGAAGCCCGTCAACGGCGGCAGCGTTGTCACGCTGCTCCTGTTCGATATCGCGTTGGCGCGCACGAACACCTAAGCGCGTGTAAGCCACACTAGCCGTCTGTGCAAACTCCTGCACAAAGTTCTGGAAATCTTGAAAACCCATCACTGCCTCACCGCGCTTCTCTGCTGCAAAGCAACAATGAATTTCCTCCAGAACCTCCATTGGAAACTGAATTTCACACGCGTTGAGCATGCCTTGAAAATCACGCAGTGTCAGGTAGCCGCGGTGATTGGAATCCCCAACGGCAAAAACCACACCTACCTGTTCAGACGAGAGATGCTCCCTTACAGCTGAAAGGTTACTGTACCCATGTTCCATGGTCGGCATGTGGGCGCCATTACTTTCCACCCCTACAGAATACTCCGTGTGATGCGCAGGAAGTGTTTGTAGCGTACCGCCGTTTTGTTTTAGATTCTCATTCCTTGGTACACCAGAAGCACCTGACTGCAGTGGCACAGAGGAGAGTAAAGGTGGCGACGGGGACGTTTCCCAGGTGCGGTTATGGTTCGGTTTGGGCTCCGCAGCCGTGTTCGCCAAACCTAGCTCACACGAAATGAAGTAGGAGCTTTTGCGCGGCGCGGGAATATCGCGCTGTGTCGAGATATCCGCTCTTGTTGCATGCCTGCGAAACACGTACAACTGGTCGTGTAGGTGTAGTTCACACACATCGTTGAGCTCCAGCCACGTCTGTGTGTCTTCCTCGTATCTCTGCACACGACTCACGGTAAATGGCTCCGAAGGATGTATCGACGTCTCTGCCTTTCTTTTCTTGACGTCGTTCTCCTCCCCGCGGAAAACACGCTCTAATATGCAATAAAATTCCGCAAGTGAGTCCGGTGGCTCCATAAACGGCAGTTCAACATTAAGCTTCTCCCCACGTATGTCCGTGCAGGCTAAAAGATCAAATGACATTTTCTAATCAACCCAGAGTACAATTCAATTAAAATGAAACTTCTAACGTAAATGTGTGTAGCCAGGCCGTAGATGTCAACAGCTACTTTGTGTACTATTTATTCTTATTATATGTCCCCGTTGTGTGTGTTTGTCCTGCGTGAGATGATGGCACTTTACCCATAAAACTCACACAGTGAAATGCAAAGCGATATAAAACTACACCAGCCCAAAACCATATATATATATACCTGCGTTTCCTTGGATACGTATATGAGAACAGGGAGAGAGAGAGAGAGGAGGAGGATGAATTAGCGCACGAGAAAAGGCTGGTGCTTAAAGTTTTATTTTGTTGTGTTTGTTGCTTTGGCCACAAGGACCCAACAGGTATAGTCTTGTATGCAGTGAGAGTCCCACTAAGGACACGGAGAAGCATACAAGGAGGAATACCTCCTCCGCCTGTGCAGGCACAGAAATATATGTGAGCCGTAAGACTAGACGAGCGTGACACTGCACAGGCGGCAGTTGGGTACTGTCATCTATTCTCCCTATTTGTCTATACTCACAAATTGAAGCTATTGATGTTCATTCACATTCCAGCTCCCCCACTTCACCCCCTTCGAACCACAACCATCTTGAGCGCCGTAGAGGGGAGGGGTTGGAGACCAATTCCACTCGCACGGCACCTCTCCTGCATATCCTTCCAGCTGCTTCCATCCCTTTTCCCCGTGCCGGCATGCATGAGCATACGCATCTACGAGCGTGGGCACCCGCCTCTCCTCCATACAGACAAGCACCCACCTCCACACACACACAGGTGCAAGGCAGACACCATACATGCGCATACATTACCCTGCAGCAGCTTTGGTTCCGTTTCTCTTTTCCTCAGTGTGGAGGTCTACTACCAAACGCAACCACCAAAGTACTGGACAATATATATATATATATATATATTATTTGCTGTTATTACATTCCCCCCCCCCCCCACACACACAGACACATCATTGCTAGTCCCCACCCGCCCGCATTTACGTTCATCTTTTTTTTTTTTTGTTTATTCCCTGGCACCATGATCGCTACGACGCCGACCAAACATCCTTCAGGTAGCGATCATTCTCATGAAGCTTCACAAAGTAGGTCTTTGCCTCCTCCTCACTCATAGGTGCTTTTTTCTGCACAATCTCGACCAGCGTCTCCTCTACATCTTTCGCCATGTACTTTGCATCCCCGCAGAGATAAAGATTTCCTCCATCGCGCAAAATTTCCCAAATTTCATCTTCACGAGCCCTCACACGGTGCTGCACGTACACCTTTGCCTCCTGCTCTCGGCTGTAGGCAACGTCTAACACTGACAATGTTCCGTTTGTCAAGCATTCCATCATAAAGTCACTGTAAATGTGATCCTCGTCTTTCCTCCTGCATCCAAAAAAGAGCATCGCCTTGCCAAGTTTGTTGCCCTTCTTCTTCCATGCATTGCGGCGATAAAGAAACCCAATAAGGGGAGCCACACCTGTTCCAGGCCCTATCATCACAATAGGCCGTTCCTTCGCTCGCAATGGAAGATGAAACTTAGATTTGCGCACAAAAACAGGAATTTTCTCCCCACATGGCATTTCCCGCAGCATTCCTGTGCAAAGCCCGCCCTGAACAATTGCTGCTGTGATAGAAACCGAGTGGGGATGTGAGAGGAGGTCGGAAGAAATCGAAAAGTAACGAGGTGCAATCCGCGGCATCATTTCAAGAAAAAACTCAAGCGGTAACGAAATGGAGCGGTACTTTCGAAGGAATCCGTGAATGTTCCACAACTTGGCTGAAAGTTTGGCAAACTCCTTCATCGACTCCGGCTCCAGGAGTAACAGCTTCAGCAATGCCTCCTTTTCGGCTGGATCCTTCGCGAAGTGGGCAAAGGCACGGAGTGTGGACTTCTTTGGGTGTCCGGCGAGGTCAATGTACCACTTGAGGGCCGTTCGAACCGTGACACGAGCCGGAAACACATTTTTCCCCGTTTTATCCTGCAAGGAAAACACTTGCGAGGCTTCCTCCCCGCTGAGACCGAGTATCTGCAGATAGGCATCCACCATCGCATCAGTGTTGTGTGGAAGGATGCCGAGGTGGTCGCCGCTCTGATACGAGATGATTGTGCCCTCAATATCCAACTCAATGTGTCGCGTGCTGCGCTCGGTGGTGTTACGCAGCAGCTCCACGTTTGCCACCACCGGCACCCATGCAGGCAGACGTTGGGTTGGCTCCAGCACAGAGGCAAGTTTCGGGAATGGGAGGGGAGCCTCCTCCGACACGTCCCACATCTTCATGCGGCACTCCGGCTCCACTGGTTCTTGTGTGTATTGGCGCAACACGATTCCAAGCATGCAACCCACTGCCGGCCACAAGTCGCGACGCCACTCATCAAACTCCTCTTCAATGTTTTGACCAGCGTCGCCGCAGCCAAGGCCGTATATGCGCTGCGCCCCCAACTCCGCCATGCGACGATCCACCGCAATGCCTTCCTCGCAGAAGTAACGATACTGACGATCGCCCAGGCCAAATACGGCGTACTTGACGTTTCGCAACTCCTCATCCGGGGTACGGGTGTCATCCATCAGCCAGTCGTGAAATTCCTTCATTGAATCTGTGGGTTCGCCCTCGCCATACGTAGCGCAGACAATTATCACGAGCCTCTCGTACTCGAGATTGCTTCTCTCATAGTTCTCCACGTCAACAAGTTTTGTAGAAACCCCCAGTCGTGTCCCTTCCCGCACAAGTGTCTTTGCAAACATCTCTGCTGTACCCGTTTGAGTTCCAAAAATAACACTCACCTCCTTTTTTTCACTTGACGCCTTTGGTTGCGTTGTCGCACGCGTCGCCAGCATCGCCGTCTGGGAACTATCACCAAAAAGAAACATACCTGAAAGCCGCGCGAGAAGCGCTGAGATGAGAAGCGTCCCCAATAGGGAAAGCATCGTCAGAAGCTCGGATGCCCACAGCAAAAGTAGCAAAAAAACTACAATGAGGGCAATAAGTATCCACATTGTTGATCTCCCTAATGACTATGTATGCGTGTGTTACTTGTAATGGGTAGGGGTTTGTGCATGTGTGAAGAAACAAGATGGAAAACGCAACAAAGGAAACACAAAATGCTAATGCGTGCAGCAAAAGAGAGATGATACCCCCAAAAGAAGCGAGAGTCCAAAATGTCAAACCCCCTTGACATCCTCGTGCAAACGAAAACAAACAAAAAAAAACGATATTGTCGTCAACCAGCACTTAATTTGAGTTATACGCCTACATGTGGTGGAAATCAGCATACGGGCATCAAATCCATCACGAAGAATGGAACCAACGCACGCAAAAGCAAAAAAAAAAAAACGGAAGCACAATTTTTATCTTAAACATAAGTAATCTGCAAATATATATATATATATATATTAAAACGTCTTATCTGATTCTGATGCGACACCCAGTCATATACCGCAGCCTTCCCACGTAGCGCCTTCACTTTTGGTCGCTTGAAGAAACAACAATGGTCTCACCTGACTTCTTAAACAACCCCAAAACCTGAGATGGTTCCTTGGTTCCTCGATCTGATGGCTTCTTCTTGTGCCGTCCGCGACGAAACGCCTTTCCTCCTTCTTTCCTCCCCTCCCCAAGAGGAGCATCGCAAGGATATCCTTCTGCAGCAACGGTTGTGGGGTTTAAATGCGGATCCAAGCCCCTCTCCCCACACGGGTCCACGTGTGGTCCCCGCGGGCGTGCACTACCTTTGCCCTTATCCTCTGCAGTGACGTCTACTGAAGTCGGCGATGCAGCACCTTTCTTCTTACTTTCCTTCCCCCGCGCGCAATTTTTATTATGCCGCTCCCTTTGCCTTTTTCCCCGTGTCTTCTGCGGCTTGCTTTCTTCCCGTTCCTGTTGTACCTCTGTTGCATGTCCTTGACCTAGCTCCTTTCCCTCTGTCTCCCACCTTTTCGACGTTTCCGCGTTTGGCGTCTCACCCTTCTCTCCGTCTGCTTTATGGAGGTCCTTTTTTTTTCTACTACGACGCGCTTTCCTTTTGCCGCGATCGGTCGTCCTCTCAACGGCATCATGTTCCTCATTCTCGCTAAGCCTCCTACCCCGCACCCGCCCCTTTTTTGTCTCTTGCCTCCGCTTCTGCCGCCGTACCTCCCTTGGCTCGGCGTCCACGCCCACTCCCTCGTGCATACCGCCAATCTCTACCGGTGCGTCACCCCTACCTTCGGGTCGTAGTATCCGAGGCACACACAACTTCTTCTTCGTCTCCGCCTTGGACCGCCCCTTCGGCGCCATGGTTACATTTACTTCTCGTGCACTCTCGCAAGGCGTGTTCCTTAGCAGCTTCTTTTTTTCATGTTGCGACATCCCCTTTCTAGCTTTCTTTGTTTTCGTCCTCCGTGGTACCTTCTCTGACACCTCTTCCTTCCTCTTCCTTCGCCTTCTTGTAGCCTTCACTTTATTCAGATGCCCACATTCGGCGAGAAGCTCCTGTACAAGAAGCCCCCTCGGCGCGGTTTCCACTTTAGGTTCACCATCGTCAAACTGCGTCTGCTTTTCATTCGCTTCGGACGGCATCTCGCACACCGGCGTGTCTAGCCTGGCACAAAAGCGCCTGTAGTTTTCGTCGTCCTCAATAGTGCCTGGACGCCACTCCATCTCCACAAGCTTCTTCCGTTTCTTCCCAGCCGCACCATGCCTGGAAGGTGGGAAGACGTCAAAATACACCGGCGACCACTCCACCAGCGACGCCATGGCGCCAGGTCCATCATCGTCCTTGTCAAAGACTACACGGCCGTCAAAAACGTCTATTAACGCTTGAATCACACGTTTGGACGCGTTGTTGTCGCCACCATCTTGAACTGAGCGCACGCAGACGATGGCGGTAGAAGGAACATAGGGGCGGTCGCCGAGACGCGGAAAGCCGCGAAGTACAAAAATATCCACCATGTCCTGCACATCGCTGCACCCGCTCCGCTCTAGTAACACAGCCTTGAGCTTCACATCGGTGATATCGTGCGGTAATTGCCGTATGAAAAGGCGGCGTGGGTGTTGCTGCCTAGGCTGCTTCGGTGCCATCACGTGAGAGCTACAGCTCATAGCACTGTCAAAAAAAAAAACACTAAGAAAACAAACAAAAAAAAACAACAACAAGGCAGGAACGTCATATTTGCAGCATGTACGTAGGCACATACATACAGAGAGAAAAAAATGGGAAACAAAGAGAAAGAGATAAAGCCTCTTGATACCCGTGTCACCTGCCAGTTCTCCAGCAGCGTATTTGTTTTAGTGGAGAGTTTCACGGATTGTCCATCGTGAGGAAGGCGCAAAAGAGTGTGCCTCACTTAAACTAAACTCACACCCGTCCCAATCGCCACCCAACAACGACAACGGAAATAATTTAAAGAAAAAATCAGGAATGCATGACGGCACGACACAGAGTCAAAAAAAAAAACATCCACGAAAACGTTATGGGGCAAACCGCATACCTCCAATTTCATCACCAGCCACAAACAAATCCGCCGCATCCACATCCAAAAAGTCATCCAGCACATCCATTTCCTCGTACCGTAGGGAATTCGGCAAATTGGGGGTCCTGGTGGCGTCATTTCGATGACGGTAAAGCGCCAAGGGGGCATCTCCAACGCCATCCCAACCTAGGACAGTCAGGCCCCGTGCTTTCGGATTACTTTCTACCTCGTGGCTCTTTTGTGCCAAGCTACCAGCGTTTTTGGCGTTGCCTGTTCCCGCAGAGTCGGTCCCCAAAGTTCCAGCATTCTCAACCACTTTCCGCGCAAGCGAAGTGCCAGCATCTTGCTTCTTACACAATACCGGCAGCAACTCTGCCGGGTAGACCCAGCCTTCATGCTCTACCAGCACAGGCGGCCTCCTTGTCGTTGCAGAGCCAACGTCTTGGCTCTTCACGCATCCCATTGTAACATTACTATCGTGATTACATCCATCACCTGCGTCAGATAAGCTCGCACTGCTGAAGCTACTCACGCTGCTGAGGCTACTCACGCTGCTGGTCAGTCTGTCCCCGTCCACCTCCATGGAGGCTAAACTCGAGGTTATCGAAGTATCCGAGCTATTCACCGACCTGCTTTTTATCCTAGAAGCAAGCACCACATCAGCACCCGCATCTCCTTTCGGCTCTGACTCCCCCTCGTCATCAAGCAGTAGTCTGGTGCGTGTTGTAGAGACGTAAGTTGGAGGTGTATATATCGGCCTCACGTGCTGTAACGGCAAATGACTGGTCACAATAGGAACAGGTGGAATAGCATCAGGTGCTAGTATTTCCCCTGTACGTGCGCGTTTCTTTCCGTTGGGATTTTGCCTCTTTATGCTTCTCGCCCTAGAAGGCACCTTTGAAGACGACAAACCCTTTGATGAGAGTGCAGCCTTTATTTTTCCCCAAAGCTGGTGGGCGGCTCTACCCGTGTATGTATGACCGCCGTAGTGCAGCTGACGACGGCCATTCACCGTGGACCATCGGTGCTCATACGGCTCTCCATTAGGTTTTAGCTGCAAACTGTTGTTCTTTCCTCGTACTCGCTCTAGTTTACTGCGCATTGCACCTACGGTTTTTTTACTGCTGCTACGGCTCGTCTGCTCCCCATGGGAAAAAGACATGCACCTTTTCCCATTCCTACTACTCACATCCCTCGCTCTTGAGGTTCTAGTCATCCGAACATCACTGTGCAAAGTACGCCTCTCCACCTCATCGGGGTCCGCCAAACCCATTGCACGCGACAGCATATCTGATGAAGGTCTCCGCTGTGCACTATCTCCCTCAACCAAGGGCCCCGCAGAAGACAATGCAGTAGGCAACAACACACCACCCAACCTCTGCAACTCGCTCAATCGCACAATAGCGCCCCCGTAACGTCGTGGCTGACAAGAATTATTCCCACACGCATCCTCCGACGTCACACCAAGCGATACAACTGCCCCCGTGATCGAAGAGGGAGCAACAAACTGTGTCTTATCGGAAGTATTACAACAGCCAGTACAGGGGGACACCACACCGCCGCCACACATGCTGCTGCCGGACAGCTGCACATGAAACCTGGCAGAAGGTTTTTCGATGGGCACTAACGGCATCAAAACTTGCAACTCAGCTAACACACAAAAAAGAGAAGAAAAAGAAAAAAAAACATGACGGGAAAGAAAGATGCACGCGCATCATCCGCATCGCGCAGTGCGCACGCCACGGGATGCGAGTGGACACCACGGGCCACAAAGTATCCAGCACCAAAAAAAAAACATATAAGGAAACAAAAGAGGGACCCACGTCCTGCACCTTGCGCACATTGTAAAAGAAATTCAAAAAAAGAATCACATGTGCGGAACACGGGGCTCTTACTAGTTCTTCCCCTTACGCGGTCATTTCTCAGACCGTACATAACTTCAGGAGTCTGCTTCCTTACTCGCTTCTCTATACTACTAGCTTCGCAATATCCCCGTGTCTTTCCTTCTCAGAAGAACAGGGAAACAGGCACCCAGAACAGCGGCCCCATGGCGCCGCACAAAGACGGCATCGGGCCATCGGAGAGGTCGTACGTTCATCCTTACACTTTCCCTTCCCCCTTCCTTATCCTGTTTGGCGCCACATCGTCGGGGACAC